TATCTTCTTTTCCCTTTTGGTCAAAACTGATGACGCAAGAACACAGCATAGGGAAATCAAATACCATTAAAACCAACGTCTGCCCCACAAAGTAACTTTTCACAGTTAAACTGAGGAAGACATGTAAGGGCTTTATATGAAAATACGCATATCAATAATGTTGATCCCAAAGATGGGGGAGGAGAAAAACTACCGACCCAAATCATCATGGCCAAATTAATTAAAGCAAGCTGTCTTAGTTAGGGTTTTACTGCTATGAAGAGACACCATGACCACAGCAACTCTTATAAAAAGGAAAACATTTAATTGACGCTGGCTTACAGTTTCAGAGGTTTAGTCCATTATCGATCAGCGTGGCAGCGTGCAGGCAGACATGGTGCTGGAGAAGGAGCTAAGAGTTCTACATCTTGGTCCGCAGGCATCAGGAAAAGACAGTGACACCCTGGCCAGGCTTGACTTTCTGAGACCTCAAAGCCCACCCCCTAGTGGCACACCTTCTCTAACAAAGCCACACCTACTCCAATAAGGCCACACCTCCTAATAGTGTCACTCCCTATGGGCCTATAGGGACTATTTTCTTTCAAACCACCACAAAAGCAATTAATTAAAGCAAGCTTTTTTATTCATGTACATGGGCTGCCTCCCCCTAAGATGGGGTTTGAGAGGTCAGCATTGGATGTGAGGAAGACAAAGTTATTGCAGCTCGGGGGTAGGGGGATTTCCAAATGGGGAGTTGGCAGGCAAAACAGGTCGGATTATAGCAGCAGAACAAACAAGTTAGTCCTAACGACCTCTTGAAACAAAGACATGGCTGCAAGGTGGGCATAACAAGGGAGTCATCGTCATAACAAGGGAGTCATCGTCATAGGTGGTCATCTAACCTTTTGAAACAAAGGTAGAGTTGCAAGATGGTTATAAACAACTTTTTGAAACAAAGACATGATTGCCATTCCTGGAACAGGCAGTACAGAAAGAACCATTTGTAGTTAAGGTTACAGGTGGGGCAGAGCTCAATCCTTCAGAAACAGGTTTAATCATAAACAAGAACGAACCTAGTTTGTCTTTACTATAAGATGGCTTTTAAGCCTAAGATGGAGGCAGACTGGTTCTTCAATAACTCTATGACCAACTTATCTAATGTCATTTTCATATTTTCACTAAAAAATAAAAAAGCTGTACACTTACACCTAATTTTTTTTCTTCCATGTTTATCTTCAATCTTATCCTGGTATTGTGCTCACAATGCGAGCACTTTGGAACTCTGGTAATCAGTGGCATCTTGAAAGGACTAGACAGTGCACACGGCATGAACTCAGTGACTGACTATTGGGGTGGGAGGTAACAAGAAAGAAAAAACAGGGCTGGAGAGATGGCTTAGAGGTTAAGAGCACCGACTGCTCTTCCAGAGGTCCTGAGTTCAATTCCCAGCACCCACATGGTGGCTCACAACCATCTGTAATGAGATCTGGCGCCCTGTTCTGTATACATAATAAATAAATAAAAAAAAAAAAAAAAAAAAAAGAAAGAAAAAACTGCTTCAAGACTTACTAGTTACACCTGTTTATACCTGAGGGTAAATGAGGGCAGGCTACCACTTCCAAACTTTGCTGTTGTTGTTTTTGGTTTTGTTGTTTGTTTGTTTTTTGAGACAGGATCTCTCTATGTAGTCCTGGCAGTCCTGGCAGTCCTGGAACTCACCAGATCTTCCTCAAACTCACGGAGATCCTCCTGCCTCTGCCTCCAGAGTGCTGGGATTAAAGGCGTGCATCACCACAACCAGCCCCACTTTCAAACTTTATTTTAAATGTATTTATTTTGTGTGTCTGGATGTTTTGCCTACATCTTTGTGTGTGTACCACATGCATGACTGTTTCCTGCAGACACTAGAAGAGTGCACTGGATCACCTGGAACTGGAGTTACAGATGGTTGTGAACAACCATACGGGTTCTTGTAACATGAATCTTAACAGGTCTTATTAATAAAAAACAAACCCAGAGTCAGGTATTGGGGTGAACGCTGAAAGATCAGAGAGAACAGGCCACAGTCACCTCACCTTGCCAATTCCTCAGCTGATCCTGTTTCCTCAGACTGGAAGTCTCCGAGTCCTCATCTGAATGGATCTCAGCTGAACTGCTGCTCAAAAGCCTAAAAGCTTAACCAGGCTAGTTCCTGGTCCTCACACCTTATACACCTTTCTGCTTCCTGCCATCACTTCCAGAGATTAAAGGCGTGAGTCACTATGCCTGGTTGTTTCCAGTGTGGCTTCGAACTCACAGAGATCCAGATGGATCTCTGCCTTCGGAATGCTAGGATTAAAGGGGTGTGTGCCACCATTTTCTGGCCTCTGTATCTAGTGGCTGTTCTGTTCTCTGACCCCAGATAAGTTCATTAGGGTACACAATATTTTGGGGAACACAATATCACCACAGGTGCTGGGAACAGAATTCTTGTCCTCTGCAAGTGCTCTTAACCACTGAGCCATCTCTCCAGCCCCCAGTTCTTAAAATATACCTGAGGATTATAAGAATATTATTTAGAAACAAAAGCTAGTAGCCTGGTTCAGAGGCTTACAGAAAGAGCAGACAGCTGCAAAGTCCCAGTCCTACCAGAATGAGTATGACCTAGAACAAACTATATGCCTTCCCATGTCCTCCAGAAATAAAGATGTAGATGCTGCCAGCCACGGCTAGAGACTCAAGGCAGGCAGTGCATGTCTGTACAAGTTGATGAGTTCTACAAAGGAGTGTCCTTTATAGGAAGAGTTATAAAATTTAAAAATGGACAATACAACCAGGTGTGGTGGCACAAGCCTTTAATCCCAGCACTCAAGAGGCAGAGGCAGGCAGACATCTATGAGTTCAAGACCAGCCTGATCTACAGAATGAGTTCCAGGATAGCTAGAGCTATTACACAAAGAAACTCTGTCTTGAACTCCCCTCCCCAAAAAATAGAGAATACATATGAACAATTTAACGAATAACTATTAATCCAAGGTAGCCATCATCCAAGCAAACAGAATACTACCAGTGTCACAGGAATTTCCAGGCCTACACACCTGCTGTATGCCTCTCCCTAACCATTACCCCTCTTCTCCCTTCTAAATAACACAGGTAACTTTTTCTTGCGTCAGATCCTTTAAGATATAGTCTCACTGTGGAGCCTAGTGAGGTGACCCTCCTACCTCAGCCTTCCAGGCACTGGATCACAGGTGAACGAACACCAGCACACCTCGGGTCCCATGTTTAAGCAGAACCACACGGAGGTCTCCTACAGGTGCGCGATGTTTCTTTTGCTACACATAATGTCTGAGAGACTCGCTCATATCTCTGTGCACTCTCCTAGTAGATATGTGAGTTGCTTCCATTTGAGAGTCTCCTGAGCAGTTCATCTATGAACATTCATGCACATATACTAGAATTCTGTAGGGATTCATCAAGGGTAGAAGTGTTGGATCCTTGAGGGCACTGGCAAACAGCAAACAACCCTTCAGAGTGAATCTACCAACACAAGCGAACACCAAACGGGTGAGACAGAAAGTTATTCATAATTACCAGTACTCAAAAGTTAACTGTTCTACATGGAAATCCTACATAGAGGTCATTCATAAGCATTCCTCCCTCAAGGTCTTTGAGCTTGCTGTCTTTGCCTGGAATACTCGTCTATGTATATCCACAATGCTTCTTCCCTCCCCTTCCCCAAGACTTCAGCCAAATGTTATCTTCTCAGTAAGAACTCCTCTGGCCACCCTACAATACTACAATAGCCCTTCCCCACTGATTCCTACCCCAAGCAATTGCCAAGATTTAATGAATTAATTTACATTAAAAAAAACAGGATGAAAAATCAGAATCACTGTAAGGAGCAGAGAATGTGTATCGGAGGATACTCTTCAAATTTTATGACCACAGAATGAAATCTAACTCAGCAGGAGACCAAGACAGATGTCCTGCAACATGCATGCAAAGAAAGACAGGGAAGTTCTTCTCAGCATCGTGCTGCAGCAAGCAGCCAATAAACCAGCAGCAGAGTGGAGCAGAAACAGAAGAACACAGCAAAGACATGTCAACAGCAATCTCCCAAGACAGAGATAATCAAACCTCGAAGAAATCAGTAAGCAAACTACGAAAAAATAACAGAGGATTCAGCCATGTGCCTTGCTTTAAATTATGTAAATAAAATGCTAAAAGAAATAACCAAAATCATAAGCCAATGAACATGCCTGCTGGGCTAGACTAGAATTTTAATTGAATTCAAACATTTATGCAGTATCTCTTACTGCCAGATACTCTTCAAATAATTAACTATAAAACTGATTGCATTAAACCCACATGTGGAATAGAAGTTAATTTAATTGCATTATTTCAATTTTATCCTCCAAGATCCTTTAGCCAAATAGCTGATAAGAATTAACTAGCCAGCTACATTTTACCTCTGTTTCCTTCCTCCTCCCTTGAATAAAAGGTGTTCATATATTATAGTTGGCCAAAGTGCAGGTGACAAGAAGAAAGCACTCGGTTGACCAGTTGAATTACTCAGGGTTTGAGCTCTTGACTAGTCAGAGTGGAATGCATTTGCAAATCCTCATCTAAAGGGGCTGTGCTATGGAGCAGCATCAGTTCACAGCACCAGAGTGAATCTTGTGCTTCTGGCTCACAATTTAATACCCTCACAATTTGTCCTACTCAGAATAGGTTCATCAATTATTATTCTTAGTCTAGCTCAGGCATTCAAAATTATAGGCACAGGCCAGCAAGAGAACTCAGCATGTAAGGGTGCTTGCTGCCAAGCCAGACAACTAAGTTCTGTCCCTAAGACCCACATGGTAGAATGAGAAAACCAGTTCCTGCAGGTTGTCCTCTGACCTCCACATGCATATCCTGGCACAGCCATCTACACACTGACACATACACTATGACATTTGTAATGCAATTTCAAAAGTAACGGATGTCTACGCAATCTTCCCAGCACCGAGCAGCAAGCACACAACTGGAACCCATACCTGCAGAGCTCAGGAGGACACTAAAGTCCGTCCCCCGCTGTGATTCTCCACTTTCATCATTGACTTCTTTTTTAGTATCTTGATATCGATCCCAGTTAGAGACAATCTTTCTTCTAGAAAAATGTCCTTGCTCATCATTCTCTTCTCCATGGGTCTCTGAATCACTGTCATCTTCCACCTGCAATCATTAGAGACAAATCAATAGTCAGGCAGTACAATCCTGATGCTGGGAGTCTTCACAGTAAAATAACAGGACATCGGTGTAACACTAAAAACTGAATTTGTAAACGAGGCTGGGACCCTAAGCAATATTTCCAAAGAACCTCACTCTATCAGAGCATTATCTCAGGGTAACTTTCTAATGAGTATGTAAGGAAATCGGTACATTCTGCCTGAACCTACCCCCACATATAGTGGCTGTACCTCTACTTGAAATCACCGAGGCTATAGGATTGTTAAGACTTTAGGACCAGAGCCTGGCAAGATGACTCAGGGGCTAATGGCACTTGAGGCACAAGCCTGATTGCCTGAGTTCCATCCCTGAAACCCACATAAAGATGAAAGGAGAGATTAACTCAATAAAGCTGTCCTCTGACCTCTGCATGTGTACTATGCACAACACATGGTGCACATCACATACACACATACACATATATATACACACACACACACACACACACACACACACACACACACACACATATATAATAAATAATTTTAATACTTTAGAATGGAAATCAGCTCTCTCTGGAAATTTACAGATATTTGCAAACGTACCTCACAAATGTGTCTTAATGGGAACTGAACTCGGAGGCATTCTTGAGCATTTCTAGTCTTGAGCATTAAAAGAAAGCATGCATTAAAAGAAAGCATGCAGAGAACAGTAGATTGTGAGAAATCCTACAGTATACTTAGAAATGGTGATTTAATTGTATTAAGAAATAGACTGCAAGCCATCGAGAAAGATCAGTGGGTAAAAGTTTTAACCACACAGCCTGGGGACCTGAGTTCAATCCCCAAAACCCACAGTGGAAGGAGAGAATCAACCCTGACTGCAACATATGTGCCCACATTCACCGACACCCCCACACACACACACATAATAATAATAAATGTAATGGGTTTGAAGAGATTGCTCAGTGGTTAAGATTGCTCTTTTAGACACTTGGTTTAACTCCCAACACCAAACAAAGTAGCTCATAATCATCTGTATGTAATTCCAGTTCCAAGAGATCCAAAACCCTCTTCTGGCCTCTGTAGGCACTGAATGCATATGGTGCCCAAAAATACATGCAGCCAATTTTTTGTAGGAAATAAACTGCAAAAGAAAAAATGGTAGCATAATAGAGAACAGATTAAACAAACTTAATGGACTGGAGTGGGTGGCAGTGGCAGAAGAACTGGTTGATGAGCTCTGGTGGGTGTCAGGGGAAGATGGTCCTCATTGATGAGCTGGGGTGGGTGTCAGTGGCAGAAGAACTGGTTGATGAGCTGGAATGAGTATCAGTGTGAGAAGGTTCTGCTTGATGAGCTGAGTAGCTGTCAAGAGCAGAAGGTCCCAGGTTCCATCCCTAGCACATCACAAACAGCCCACTGGATTCACACTGTAAGATTGGGAACTTATCTATTATTGTAATCTGAAAGACCTGCTCTCAAGGCTACATCCAGGGTCCAAGGAGAAAGCCATAGTGTAGCAAAACTTAACATAGGACTTTTTTTATCTGAGGGGTAAAGTCTCATATACATGATATGAAAGCATGTTCTTTATTCTTCTGTTATAGCTCTAATTCTCTCTACAGCTCTAATTCTTCCTAAGTTCTGATTCCTTCTAGTTTCTAATTTCTTCCCATTCTCCTTTGTACTACAAAGCTATATACATATTTTTAGGAGGCTTTTTTCAATAGAGAGAAGCTACCTCTGAAGGTCATAGCACATTCCTTTAGTAAACAGTAAGGGGCAGAGCCATTTACCATGGCAACGAAAGGTTTCAAGGTTCCTGGTGTAACACTGTGACCAGAGGTCAGGGGCACAGTGCCCAGTGAGACAAGCTGCTGAGGGATAGATCTTTATCAGCCAGACTCAGCAAGTAAAGAATTGGCATGATTTTTTAAATAATTTATTTAACTTTATTTTATGTGCAGTATCAGTTCCCCTGGAACTGGAGTTAACACACAGTTGTGAGCTGCCAAGGGGGTGTTGGGAATTGAACTTGGATCCTCTGAAAGAACAACAACCAGTGCTCTTAACCACTGAGCCATCTCTCCAGCCCCTTGGCATGATTTTTTTAGGTTGCTTTGTATTAGTAACCTTGGTTAGACATCTGTGACTTTGTCCTTGTACATATCTGTAGAGCTTTTAACTTATGATCTGTTTACAGAAACATTCAGTCTAGTTTGAACTTGCTCTGAGGTAAAAGTGAGCTACTTGTGTGTAGTTTGTCTAGACTGGGGAGAAATTGTTGCTTTCTATGTTAGTTTGAGTTAAAGGAACAAAGTAGGCTTTTAAATGTCTTATAGTCCTCATGAGACAATAGATCTAGTTATGAAGCATATTCTAGTATATTTTCTATATATTAAAATTATACAGCTTAATGAGAAGTCATCTTTCTGACCATCTATAAATATATGTGCCCATAAGATTGAGATGCAATCTTAAGATTACATATACATGTCACGTGAAATTAATGCAGGTATTGGGGAGACACCACAGCTGATTCTGCACGTGTAAAATTACAGACAAGAGCAATAGTTTCCAGAGTTGGTGGTCCCACAAGCCTTGCCTGGACAGCATTCTCCTCCATCAGAAAATCATTCCTCTGGTGGCTGACATCTGATTTATCAATTGCTATAAGCTGTATTTGCATCATGGCCCACAATAACTCATGACAATCTATACTCTGATTCAAATAGTCTAACCAGGGGAAATAGTCATCATGAGAACAACTGAGAAATGTAAACAGTGACCAGACATTTGACCATATTAAGAATGAGCTAGTAATACTATTTACTGCTGATTCATAACAATGTTATGAATTTTTAGTGTTCTCATGCATTAGGTGCAAATATTCAACCATATGTGAAAAGATAAGGCATCTGGGAGCTGGTTCAAATAGCGTATGGAGAAGAATGGTGGCCAGAAATAAACTACTTACATGACCACTGCTGAGACAGGGTGGTGAGTAATGGAAGTTCATTATACAGTTAGCCTATGTGTTGTTATATAAAAAGATTTGAAACTTTCCACAATAAAGTAATATTTTTAAGGTGAGATGCATATAGAAACTAAACACATAGTTCAAAGGAGAGTCCAAAAGATTATAATATCCTTATCAAGAAAGTAAAACTAGTGAAATATATTCAAGTCAACCATTTATATACAACAGTTAAATATTAATTGAAAAACTCCAACTAGGGGGCTGGAGAGATGGCTCAGTGGTTAAGAGCACCAGCTGTTCTTCCAGAGGTCCTGAGTTCAATGTCCAGGAACCATATAGTGGCTTATAACCATCTATAATAGGATTTAATGCCCTCTTCTGGCATGCAAGTATATACACAGAGCACTCATACATAAAATATAAATAAATTTAAAACTATTGATAATTCCAACATCACCATGAATTAGAGGTAGCCTAGGCTACAGAGTAAGACCTATGGGTAGGTGATGGCTTCTCGGGAATAGAGTCAGTTTTCTTTAAGGGTGTGGTTTCTGGTAGGCCCCCATGCTCCACTGGGTGGTCCCACTATCAGGAGTAAACGGGCAGCACAATTGGACTCAATGGATTATTGGAAAGTACTTTTTTAAAAACCAACACTTTACTAACATAGAAACAGGACATTTGCCTTGTAGAAAATGATGAAGATAAAAACTAAGACACATTTTAAAAACCACATTTGGGCTATTGGGGTACTATACACAAGGCCCTCCATTCAAATCCCCAGTACTACCTGGAGAAGAAAACCTACTTCTCATCCCTGAGAGAGTTCCATAACACACATATTCCCAGTTCTTTCTTCCATTATACTTACACATTTTATTTTTGGCAACCATTTCATTAAGTAAGCATGTTCTACCTCTCCATTTGAATCGATTTCATTTTCTATAACACACACACTATCAGAAGGGTTGGTTCAGTTCTGTTTCTGAAAGAATCTCACTGTGTATCCCCGGTTCTTCTCAGATTCGGATGCTTCGTGCTTCAGCCTCCTGAGTGTTGCTGAGGTCACAGGCAGGTGCCACCACACTCAGGCCAGCCTCCCGAGTGCTGAGGTCACAGGCAGGTGCCACCACACTCAGGCCAGCCTCCCGAGTGCTGGGGTCACAGGCAGGTGCCACCACACCCAGGCCAGCCTCCCGAGTGCTGGGGTCACAGGCAGGTGCCACCACACCCAGGCCAGCCTCCTGAGTGCTGGGGTCACAGGCAGGTGCCACCACACCCAGGCCACAGAGACTACATCTAGCCCCACCCTCCAAAACAAATCCCTATACTGCTTGTCTCTTCCAGTAAGCCTCCCCTGCTTCCTGCTCACTATCCTACTTCACTGGAAGCCAGCACAAGCTCTCTTTGTAGTGTGTCAATTTACTGACGAGGCCATCATCTGTCTGGATTCTTCTGTTTTTCTTAAATTACTTGTAAATTTGTTTTTAATTTCCAGTGTTACCTAAATGCTCAGTCAAATATGTCTTGTCTTGACAACAGTGCCCCCCACACAATCCCTGGCCAGTGTTATATCACAGTCAAATGTGTCTTGGCTACAAGCCATACACAATCCCTGAGCGTGTTACATCACCTCGGCTGACAGACAAAGAGAAAAGCCCAGCACAGCTAACAAGATGACTGCAGAAGGGCTGATGACAGGCCTAACCCACTCATGTCGCTTTGTCCCCATTTCTATCTAGAACGTTGCTTTAGCGTCACTACGGTCCTCTGTAAATCTGCAGTTTCCCGTCAACCATTCACCCAACAAATTTCACGTTAACAAGTCTCACCTAAATGAAACTGCAAAAGTTTCCTAAAAGGACGGACTAAATCAGCCTTTCAACATCTTTCAGCCCTGAAATACCGTAAGCTTCACTGCAAAAGAAAATGGTCATTTATATTAAAATCTAGAAGTTACCAAATGTAACCTGAAGCCTGGAGGCTGCCATCTCTGTAAAATTCTGAAGACCCAAAGATGCTAT